TATACCTCCGTAGTTGACTCATTTACCGTCATCTCACGGCACTCTCTTACGCTGTAGGTTTTTACAGCCCTGATAAGGCGAGCTTTATCGGGGAAATACATGCCCTTTGCAAGCACCGCTGGTCTAGACTCATCCCACATCACTGACCGAAATTCATCATCATCCCTTGTGAGGGCATCCACGTCCGCCATACTTAGCAAATTATCAAGGTAGGGAATATTCGGCTCATGAAAGGGCACGTGAGACTTGTACACTCTTGGTCTAACGGTAGGTCGAGGAGCATGCTCCCTCGTCAGCTCAGGTTCGACATCCATTTCCTCCTCATCATCATCCTTATCATGGAAGGGTGTGTCATCTCCAGACTCATCAGCATTGTTGTCATAATCACTATCATCTTCCTGACTCTACGTATCTGCCAAATCACGAGTCAGTACGTCATCTATGGGCAACTGTGTGAGGTCAGGAACATCAAGTTGCTCGTTTTCACTGCACAAAAAGAACAAAATGATAAGCTACTCAACTAGATAAATACTTTACATATAGTTATATCACTTTACTTACAAGTCGTACTGTGTTGACGTTCCATGATGGATACTTTCTTATTGGTGATGACTCCCGGATAGACCACCGTGGTCCAATATGCCAGAACTACGCATATTCCAACTAGGGGCGGGGTCATAACTTATAAAATTCATATCCAGACGGTACCCCCTATGAAAAATATGAGTGTTAATACAAATCCAATTCAATCATAAAATAAACATCGCTAAAGCGTAGAAAAATTGAAGTTTATCAGTCGTCTTGTGGATTATATAAAGTCGAAAAATTATTTTGTGGCTGCTCATTCGCCGGTGGTGACAAGTTTAAATCAAGGCAAGCTCTTTTATCAGCAATCTGTCCGGCAAAAACTGCTCCAGAATAACCACCCGATGACTGGGGGTTATTCTTACTATGCACACCCTTATTATTGGGAATGTCTTCAACCTTGACGTACATTTCCAACAATTTTATTACAATAAATTCCATGTATTCATTCGGAATCCGCAAAAATCTCTAAGAGTTTCATCATCTTCGATGTTAAACTTAGAATAATAAGCAAACCCCTGGGGAGTCACTGAATACGAAAATCTACCGGTTACTTTAAGGTTCATCGAATGTTTCCTCACACTCATTTTTTTGCGTAACAACGATACTAATTTATCGTACTCTATTGTAAGCGGCAATTTAACATGACACTGTGGAGGTGAGCTATACCTCATAGAATTATTCTCCATTACAACCTCACTCACCGAATATAATGAAACTCTTATTTTTGGCTCTTCAGACATTACTAAAAAATGCTTGATAAGAAGAAGGGAGAAGTACGAACGGAAGTTTGAAGGAAAGTTTTGAATGGATTTTCATAAAATTCTAACGTCTTTAAATAAGGCAAGTCCGATCTTGGGGTGCAGAATTTTTTTATGTAAAATGCAGTATAATACCACGTTTTATGAATTTGAATTATTGTTATGTCTGTTATCCGCAGAACACTTATTGGCGGGCCCAAAAATTAGTGTAAAACGCAGTATAATACTACATTTCAGTATAAAGCGTAGTATTATAATACGTTTTACACTAAAAAACAAATTTTTTTTTTCAGTCCTGCAGAACTCTTATTATTGGTGGGCCCAATTTTATAGGGAAACACAATATAATATTGCGTTTTCCTTAAACGTAGTATTATACTGCGTTTTCCTTTAAAAAAATAATTTATTAAATAAAATGCAGTATTATATTTCGTTTAACTTTAATGACTAACTTTTCGTTAATGTAAAACGTAGTATAATACTGCGTTTTAGTTAGAAATGTAACTTTTGTAAAACTGTATAAACTTATTTTAATTACAAAAAGGTGGCATTTCATTTTCGGACTCCATAATGTAGGCAATTATTGGAGTTTACTCTAAGGAAAAGGACAATATAATGTTACGTGTTATTTTGAGTGGTCAAGGTTACCTAGTTTATTGTGAAAAAGCATCATTGGCAGTTCATTTAACAGGGAAGCTTTATGAGGTTTAACTGCATGCTGACAGTTAAATCTTTTTATACTATGAATGTTTTCTTAACTGTTGTAATATGATGTCTGTTTTATTTTTTAGGTTAGTAATTTTATTTATTATGCATAAATCACTTATAATTATTACGAATAAATCACTTATAGTTATTTTTTAGGTTATTTAATACAGTAAGACCTTTCTATAACAGCATCGCTATATAATAACTATTCATTATAAAAGTCATGTTTTTCTCGGAACCGATTTTTATATTATGTTATAATATATGTCCTCTATAACATCACTTGACTATAGCAACCGAAAAATTTCGGAACAAACGAGGATATTATAGATAGGTTTGACTATAGTATAAAATTTAATTACACCTTCAAGGATCGTTTGGTTACCGGAATAAAGATTCTAATCCCGAGATAGAAAATGAGATTTTATAATTGTTCTATGTTTGGCTGTGGGTATGAACTAATGGTACGGTGGGATAAATCTTATATCAAAATGATAAAATTAGCTATCCCATATAAAAGATCGGATAACTAATCTTAAAAAATAACTAATCCCATGGAATATTCTTTTATACTCCACGATTGAATCAAGCGACCTCAAGAAATTAAGCTCCCATCTGGCCGTAGATTTTGGCTTCATTTTTTCAATTTTTTTTGAAAACATCGGTTGTTTATATATGAAATATTATCATTTTTCGGAAAAGAATTTTAAAAATTTTTAAGTTCCCAAAAACTAGCTTAGGATAGTTTTTGGATGAAAATTTTTCTTCCACTCACAAAACTTCAACTTTTCTTCAAATAAAATATATGTCCAAACACAACTTAAATTTTCAAAAATTATTTTTCAACACAACTTCAAAAACTCTTTTAACAATTTCAATCAAATCTATGTCCAAAAGCTACCTAAATTAAACTAACATCTTCAATAGTATTAAGGAGTGGAATCTAAAGTGATGCAAAAACATGCACGTTTTACATGCTGAAAACAAGTGAAAGTCAAGTTTAGTTTATCCATCACATCACACAAAAAAATGTTGGCCACTAACAATAGGTGGCCATTTGTATGGCTTCTATCAAAGTCTTTTGCATATATCGTTTTGAGATATTTATGTGACTCTCAGGAATTGCCTAAAGCCAAATGATTAACAATTTGTCTGCCATAGTCAGGATTAATCAAGGTGGCTTAGAGCACCATAACCGCACTTACATAATTCACAACTATTCTTCATGTTCCTGATTGAAATTGATGCAATACCACTATATATTTTTTTCCTTTTTTCTAATGTTATTTGACTCAACTAACATAAACCCTACATTAAAAGTGCAACAAACTCCAGAAGTAATGCAATTAGAACCTTCTGGCCCTTCATAAGATTGGCAAGTTTTGAATTTAAATTATATATATTGACAATGTTAAAAAAATTACATTAATTATCAATTTAAGTAAAGCAATTATAGCAGAATATTACTCTTCTTTTTAAGTTACCATATATATGACTTGCTCGAAGAGTTACATATTTTTATAGACTGAGTTCATCTAATAGTGTAAATAACCAATATACTGTCAGCGCACGAAACATTAACTAGTCAGCTTAAAACAAGTCTCCGCAGCAAACATTCGCATAAGACAAAGGCAAAAGTATGTTTTGAGATAATAAAAAAATGTCTGCAGATAAAATTATTGTTAGTAATAACTAGAATTAGCTGTGCTCTATGAAGAAACCAAGTCAGAGTTAAGACGATAAACAACCTCTTCTATTCTTGATAGATCAATTGAACAACTTACAGATAAAAATAGAATTCTAAACCGTTATAGAAGCGAACAACTTGATCGGAAACGATAGCCTTGTATTAAAATTCTTGGTGATACACCAACTTGTCAGCTATATATATGGGGTTTAAATTTTGAACTTTAGACTGAGCGAATCAACTTTAAATTGAACAAGCTAAGGAAGTTGTTGAAAAGCTTCTGCAAAAGAATAATGTTGTAGTGGTAGAGGCTAGTGCAGAAGGAAACAATGAAGACAACATAGTTCAGAATGTGCGATCTAATATCTCCAACATCACATACAGTCCTGTTCGATCCTATTGCAAACTATTTTCTGCAACTAGAAGTGGAAGAAGAAATATGTGAACATCAAGAGAATGAGGAATCAAGGCAAGTGGTGAGCAAGTCTGATGCTTCAGCTAAGCAGAGGATACAAGCTAGTTCTAACAAGAAGAATTCTGAAACATTAAAGCCTAGATCTTCTAAGATAACTGAAGTACAGGCTATTAACTTGGAGGTCTACTCTGGAATCCTAGTCCTGCTATTAATGTTCCACTTCAGGTGGTTATTCCGGAACCAGATGTTGCTGCAGATATGATGATTAATTCAAAGGATGACAAGGTGGGGGATTCGAGTGATTATGATTCTGATTATGGAGAAGAACAAGAGAGTGAAAGTGAAGATATTCCAGAGGACGAATATGAAGAATGTAATTCTTCAGATGAAGAGGCTCTTATTGAAGCTTTTGCGCCTAAAACTTCATGGAAAGGTGAAGTGATGGAGGATGCTGTTTCACAACAGAGGAAGGAGCTCGTCGATACAGGAAACTTATCTCCAAGGAATATTTGCAAAAGTAAACATAAAGGTCACAAAGGCATGCCAAAGCCTCGCCCGATCATAAGGGCTATGGGGAAAGCAGCTCAAAGTGTTGAAGTTTCTTCTGATGTTCTTAATGATTAGTACAATCATTTGGAATATTAGAGGAGTAAAGTGCAGGGGGGCTTTTGAAAGGTTGAAATTTTTAACAGGTCTTCATAAAACTCAAATTATAGCTATACAAGAACCCTTTGTTAAAGAAGATCAAATAGACAAATATAGAAGAGGTTTGGGTTTCGAAGGTTGTTATGCAAATTGTAATGGAAAAATCTGGGTCTTATGGCCAGCTGAATTTGATGCAGCAATGGCAGAGAATAATGAGCAACAAATTACGCTCAAGATTACCTGGAAGAATGACGGTGAAGTTGTCTGGTTCACAGCAGTATATGCTAAATCTAAACAACATCTAAGAATTCCTTTGTGGGATAATTTGATACACTGTAGCAATTATATTGATGATCCCTGGTGCATATGTGGGGATTTCAATGCAATTATGAGTTCAGAAGAAAAGAAATGAGGCAATCCTCACAGAATATAGAAGAATTGGGAATTTATATCGTGTATGGAGGATTGTGGTATGGTGGATGCAGGTTACAAAGGACTGAGGTTCACTTGGTGTAATGCAACGGAAAGGCATTAGAGAATCTGAAAAAGGCTAGATAGGGTGTTTATTAATCATCACTGGACTGATAATTTTTTTTTTATAGATATAGAACACTTAGCAAGCAAAAGGTTAGACCACACACCTATGCTAGTAAAGTGTTCTACTTCAAAACAACCTGTTATCAAATATTTCAAATTCTTGAACTTTTGGATTGACCAACCATATTTTAAAACTATTGTGCAAGAGGCATAGAATGTAGACGTTGAGGGAAACTGCATGAGAAGGCTACAACTCATCTGAAACAAGTTAGTACCAAGCTTAGTCAGTGGTCCAGAGAGCAAATTGGGAATGTCTTTGATCAAGTCAAAGAATGGGAGCATAAAATGCAAGATCTTGAAACAGAATACATTGATAATGATGTTGAGGACCTCAGACCTCAATTGCACAAAGCTCAAGTGGAACACACTAAGTGGTTAAATGTGAGGAATCTATCCTCTAGCAGAAGGAAAATATCAAATGGATTGAGGAGGAAGATTCCAATACTAAATATTTTCATGCAATCATTAATGAAAGAAGAAGAAGAAGGGCATCTATACAAAGAATCCAAAGATTTGATGGGCAATGCATCAATGGGGATGAAGATATTGCTAGGGAGGTTGTGGAATATTTTTCAGCTATGTTTAAAGATGAAGGAGAACCAGAGCTGCAACACTTGGAATGTATTGATCAGAAGGTTACTCATGAGGATAATATTAGGCTTTGTGTCATCCCTGATGAAGAGGAGAGTAGGAAGCCAGTTTTTTATCAAAATTCGAATAGTTCTCCAGGACCAGATGGATTTGGAGGGTCTTTCTACCAAAGATGTTGGGATATCATTAAGCCAGAATTGATAGAGTTTATCCAGCAATTTTTTGGTGGAGCAGAACTTAGCAGATTCTTTACCAGCTCATGCCTTATTTTACTACCTAAGGTTGAGAATCCTTCTTCATTTAATGATATGAGACCCATCAGTTTAAGTAACTACTCTAACAAGATAATTTCTAAAATCATGAGTTCTAGATTGAACTCCATATTGCCAAAGATAATTTTTGACAATCAGACTGGGTTTCTAAATGGAAGATCCATTACAGAAAATATTTTATTAGCTCAGGAGATTATCCATGGTATTTGCAAGAAGAATTTTGGAGGGAACGTTGTCATTAAACTAGATATGGCTAAGGCCTATGATAGGGTCAACTGGAAGTTCTTGTTGAATGCATTGAGGAAGTTTGGATTTTCAGAGAATTGGATTGATTTAGTTTGGAGATCTATTTCAAATGTCTGGTACTTTGTACTTATTAATGGGGCTAGGAAAGGATTCTTTCAATCTACTAGAGGTTTGAAACAAGGAGACCCCTTGTCTCCGTCTCTTTTATTCTAGTGGCAAAGGTTTTGTCTATTATGCTTAATCAATTACCTCATATTCATCAGTTCAGGGGCTTTAGCATGGTGCAAAGTGGTCCACAGGTTACTCATCTTGCATATGCAGATGATGTAGTAATCTTCTCTTCTGGTGGCAAGAGGGCATTGAAACTAGTCATGCATCAATTACAGAACTACGAGAAGTGTTTCGGGCAATTGATCAACACTGGAAAGAGCTACTTTCTGGTGGATCCTAAAGCATCTAACATTACCATTCAAAGGATTAAAGAGGTGACTGGCTACATGCATGCTAACTTTCCTATAACATATCTTGGATGCCATTATATGTAGGAAGAAAGAGAATTTTGCATTTCAGTGATATAGTTTCTAAAATTGTGAAAAGGACCACTGGTTGGTAGGGAAAACTTTTGTCTGTTGGTGGCAGAGCCACACTCATCAAACATATTTTGCAATCACAACCCATTTACTTGCTATCAGTAGTGGAACCTCCAAAACCAGTGTTTAAACAACTTGAGACTTATATGGCTAGGTTTTTCTGGGGATCAGATGAAGGTAAGCAAAAATATCACTAGAGTTCATGGTCTAATCTATGTTATCCTAAGGAGGAGGGAGGGTTAGGGTTTAGAAGTATTTTGGATGTTAGTGAAAGTCTGACTATGAAGAGGTAGTGGAGGTTCAGAACCTGCAAATCCTTATGGTCGATTTTCTTAATGGCCAAATTTATTTTAATCATCATGTATCTATTCCTGCTCATACTTCTCAATCTCATACATGGAAGAACTTGTTCAAACTGCTCTGGAAAATTAATGCTGGAAATAGTAGTTTTTGGTGGGACAATTGGTCTGAAATAGATGTTGTGGCTAAATCATTCATAGACAAGACATCAGTGGGGTCCAGGTGATTAGAGATGTTATTACTGATGATAAATGGGATGTGGATCAGCTGCAGTTACCAGAGTTCCTTACAGAACAAATTCGATCTATTGGCATAGGGGACCAAAGTTGTTATGATATACCAGTTTGGATGCCTAATAGTACTGGTAACTTTACTACATCTTCAGTCTGGGATAGAATTAGATAAAGAAAAACTCTTGTATCTTCTTGAAGAAAATTTGGCATAAGCAATTATCTTTTCAAATGTCTTTTCTGCTATGGAGAATATTGAAAAGGAAATTACCTTTTGATGACATCATTATTAAGTTTGGACTGTGTATGGTATCCAAATGTTTCTATTGTGTTAACCCACACAGAGAAACTCTTCACCATACTTTTATTAGTGGTACCGTAGCTGAACAGACTTGAAAGTTCTTTGGGAGCCCGATGGGTATTACATGGGATGACATACCTATCAGAGCTATGATACAAAGATGGTGGGACATCAAACCAAAGAACTCTATTCACTAAACTATTCTTCATATAACACCTATGGTAATTTTTTGGGAGATATGGAAGGCCAGGTGCTCAGTAAGATATGGCGATGCTAGAATTTACTTGAAAAGAATACATTACCAAATTTTGTCCCACTTGAAATGGGTGATATCAAAAGCTAAGTGTAATAGGCAATGGGCAAGGAGTTGGGTAGATATCTGTCAACAGGTGTTATTACTCATTCCCAAAATTGATTACGTAATTGTTAAATGGCATAAACCTCCTGAATATTGGCTTAAGATTAATATCGATGGAAGCAAAGACGCAGAAGGAAATTCAGGTATTGGTGGCATATGCAGAGATCATAGGGGTAAGCTAACTATGACGATTGCTTTTTCAATTGGCAGAACAAGTAGCAACATGGTTGAAGCTAGTGCAGCCTTAGCGGGGGTGGAATGGTGTAGTCGCAGTGATTGCAACAACATTATACTAGAGTGTGATTCCCAGCTTGTGGTTGATTTGATCAATGGTAAATCAAAACTTCCTTGGCAAATGCAGGGCATTATCAAACGAATTCAAGACATTGCCGGTCAACTCAATTGTGCTATTCGCCATTGTTATAGAGAATCTAATCAAATTGCGGATGCATTAGCAAAATGAAGCATTGACAATGAAGAACTTCTTATTTTCTCCCATCAAGATCTTCTTATTTCTGTAGTTGGACATTACAGATTGGATTATATCCAGATGGTGTCACTAAGGCATAAACATAGGAAGAATATTTTTTTGTGAAGAGTTTTTGTTGATTGGTAGATTATTGTATATGCAATGGTATATATGTCAAACTGCACAGCACCCTTTTATTTTTGTTTGTAATGCATAAGGGTAGTAAATAGTTAGTAAATAGGGGTAGTCGTTGCCTCCTTTGTGCGAGGTAACAACATAGGTCCTCTTCATATTTTGTACTCTTTCTTGGTTGAATGATAGGGCCATGCCACCATACGGCATAATTGATTAAAAAAAAATAATCAAGTTCTCTAGTTTATATAGCATGCCATGTTTTAATCTACAGGGAGATGTCCATCGTTCAAAACAATTACACTAATTTATTTAGTAATTAGGAAACTAAACATTGAATCTCTGATCATAAAGCCGTAAATCTCATTCCCATTTACAATCTATGCCAAAAGTTCAAACTAGAGAAATTGATTGAGTTACCCCAAATAGAAGTAAACGGATAAGCAACTCTTGAGGTTTTATAGGGTGAATTCAAAAATAGCCAGATTTACAAGTGGTAATTGAAAAATAGCCATAGTTTCAAAATTAATCGAAATTTAGCCAATTTTCATGTAAAGATAAATCTGAACGAAAAACACTATTCAAAATCCAAAAAATATTCCAGCATAATATAATGGAGTTTAATGTTTTTACATGCGAACTTCCAACATAATATACTGGAGTTTTAGTATATTATGTTGGAACTCCAGTATATTATGATCTTCCAACATATTTATACTGGAACTCTATCATAATATACTAGAGTTCCAGCATATTTATACTAGAACTCCATTATAATATATTGGAATTCCAGCATAGTATACTGGTCCAGCATAATATGCTAGAAGTTCATACACATGTGTTCCAATCTCTAGTATATTATGCTGGAACTTTCTGTGTGCTGGAGTTCCAACATAATATGCTGGAAGTTCATAAACAGGTACACCAATCTCCAGTATATTATGCTAGAACATTTCGTGTTGCAGCAAAATAATGGCTATTTTTTAATTACTAGTCCGAAAAGTAAAAATTTTGTTGGGTAGCCACTTTTTAAAGTGGTATTTACTTTTTATCCAGCATTTTTAATGCTTAGCAATAGTAGCCACTAGTCTATTAAAATTAATATGAAAGGACTGTGCTACCCTTTCTTCTATCTCTTTCATATTAGGGAGAAGAACTGTGCCGGAAGGAAAACCAGTAACCAATAATACAAACTCACATCTTGTCGCACACTCTGCAGTCAGAACACGATGAATCAGATCATAGTGATCACTATCTTAGTCCTTTTTTCAATAATACTTCTAAAACTAGTGACCAATAATACTTCTAAGATCACATTCTAAGCCGTGATATCCATTTTGTTTTTAAAAAGGGGACTAAAATGTGATCACATTCTTAGTCTTTTATTTTTTTAGTTGTTTCTTTTTGTTATTAGCTTTCTGTTGTGTAATTTGACATCAATCTTATATGTAAATTGCAATTATTATTATTTTTATTTTTTTGTGAAAAGATACAAATAACGTTTGGTCTTCTGCTACGTTATGGATCCTGAACTTACAGTTACAAGTTCAAAAGTTAAGGACACTTGGTCCTGAACTTCAAGTTCCAAGTTCAAAAGTTAAGGACAATAGGTCCTGAACTTACAGTTACAAGTTCAAAAGTTAAGGACAATAGGTCCTGAACTTACAGTAACAAATTCAAAAGTTAAGGACAATGTCCTGAAGTCTTGAACTTAGACAAACAAGCTCAAAAGTTAAGGACAATAGGTCCTGAACTTAGGCTAAGAAGCCCAAAAGTTAAGGACAATAGGTCCTGAACTTACAGTTACAAGTTCAAAAGTTAAGGACAATAGGTCCTGAAGTCCCGAACTTAGACTAACAAGCTCAAAAGTTAAGTACAATAGATCCTGAGCTTAGGCTAAGAAGCCCAAAAGTTAAGGACAATAGGTCCTGAACTTAGACTAACAACCTCAAAAGTTAAGGACACTTGGTCCTGAACTTACAGTTACAAGTTCAAAAGTTAAGGACACTTGGTCCTGAACTTACAGTTACAAGTTCAAAAGTTAAGGACATGTAGTCCCGAAGTCCTGAAGTTAAGTTCAAAAATTAAGGACATGCAATCCTGAACTTAGAGTTCCAAGTTCAAAAGTTAAGGACATGTAGTCCTGAAGTCCCGAAGTTAAGTTAAAAAGTTAAGGACATGAGCAGAAGGGTATTTTCGTCCGGGCAGTTAAAGTTTATTAAAGCAGTGACTAAAGACTAAAGATATTTTAAACAGCGGCTTAAAAGTAAATACATGTGTTATTAGTGGCTAATCGTGCATTTCCCCCATCCGAAATCTGGCTAGCTCGTGCTATTTTCACTGTTTTATATGTATTGAGTTGTATGTTTTGTACACCTAAATAAATAAATTAAGAATCTTCCATCTAACCATTTAAGTTTTTAGATTAGTTGATCACACAATTCAATTTGGTATTAGAGCAAAAGGAATTAGGTTCAAGCCTTACAATGTTATCGATTGAAATACAAGAAAAAAGAGTTTTTACGTGCGTGACAAATAAAAAAGTTCAGAATCGAACATGAGGGTAAACTGCAAACCAAAAATATTACATTATTATCTTCTTAACTTATTAACGAACACTAGTTAATTAATGTTTCTAGTGTTACCCATGCACTTGGGCTAACGAAATAAAGTTTTTGGGCCTATAGTTGGGGCATTTGCATTTTTATAATTATTTTTTGGGTCACGTTTTAATTTATATTCGCTGTGTAAAAAAAAATTGCAAGCGTGCCCACTTTTTCGCGTAACTTCAGCATACGGGCCTGAAGTAGCAAAGGCAATTACGCAAACTTCAGCATTCTAGTAGACGGGCCTGAAGTAGCAAAAATTGCTGAACCAAGTGTGCTGAAGTTTTTGTTTGTAATTGCTGAACTTAAGCATTCTAGTGCTGAAGTTTTGTTCTCTATTTGCTGAAGTTTTTATTTGTAATTGTTGAACTTAAGCATTCTAGTAGCTGAAGTTTTATTCTCTATTTGCTGAAGTTTTTGTTTGTAATTGCTGAACTTAAGCATTCTAGTGCTGAAGTTTTGTTCTCTATTTGCTGAAGTTTTTATTTGTAATTGTTGAACTTAAGCATTCTAGTAGCTGAAGTTTTATTCTCTATTTGCTGAAGTTTTTGTTTGTAATTGCTGAACTTTAGCATGTTTTAGCTGAAGTTTTTCACGTAAACTTAGTGTTGGCTAAAGTTTTTGTTTGAAATTGCTGAACTTAAGCATTCTAGTAGCTGCAGTTTTGTTCTTTATTTGCTGAACTTCAGCATGTTTTAGCTAAAGTTTTGTTCTATATTTGCTGAACTTCAGCACATTTTAGCTGCACAACCCATGCTCTCAAGATATGTTTATGAATTTTCTGCTTGAAGGGATTCATTATAGTTTTACTATTTTTAGGATGGCAGTCATTACTCAACTTTCTTCTAACGACGAGCCAGTCATCTTCCTCTACCAAGTCATCTTCTTCAAAATTCATTCGGTACATCCTCTCTGCTGCTTCTCCAAACGATCCACCAAACTAAACACCGAGAAACCAGAAAAAAGAACAAATTAAATGAACTCGAACCAAATTAAATGATTGATTATTTGATTGAAAAAAGTTAATGGACCTTGGCATGTCAAATGGTCAATTTGGGGTTTCTGCGAAGAAGCAAAGGGATAGGTAATGAGTGACAAATTGGAGAAAGAGAAGATGGTGAAGTTGTTAATTAGTGTGATGATGGAAAAAAGATTCTTTTTCTGTGTTATTATTAAAAGGAAAAACTAACGAACTTCCATAGCAAGAGATATGAATGGTGAAAGAAATCAGAGATTTTTGATGTTCAAATTTTGTAGTCTATGTATATATAACTGGTAATTACAAACTTACGTTGCGATTGAAATCTTAATGACTTATGCTGATCAAAACACAAAAAAGTTGTAACCGTTGAACTGAAGTTTCATAATAGCACCAACAGTAGCAGAAGAAAGAAGAAGAAGAAAACGAAGGAGGAGAAAAAGAGCTGAAATTGTTTAAAACGTAGGTACAAGATAAAACTTTTAAAAAGAATGAGTATAAATTAAATGAGGGTGACCAAATAGGACGCCCCATGCAATTTTTACCTATAGTTGTGGGAGGAGGCCCAAATACTTTAGACTCAATCATTTGCCAATATTTCTGGGTTTTGTTTCATGGGCCTTCTACCAAATTTCAGCACGGATTTTTTCCCAAAGATATAAAATTAAGACAATATTTACCCAGTCTAGCTAGGCTTTTCTATTACAATAAGTATCTAGAGTTTTTTCTATAAGAGATACAAAATCCAGTCAAAAGATTCATATACAATTTGTACAAAACTTTTTGTTGTACAGAATCCGATCAAAAGTTACAATTTATTATATACAAATTATATAAATTTTTACTGTACGTAATCTGATCAACACACATACAACTTATATACAAGTCACATATAATTGTGTTAGTTGTATGTAGTTTATACACCCGGCACACAAACTACATACACTTTATTTATATCTTTCTTTTTGAGTTGTCAGGTGTACAAACTACATATATTGTTATTTGTATATTAGGTATACAAACGGCATACAAGATAGATACAACTAATTGTATGCAAGTTGTATGTTTTGACTAGATTCTACACATAAATTTTTTTGTATACAAGTTGTATGTAAAATGGTATGTTTGATCGAATTCTGTACAATAAAAGTTGCATGCAAATTATATATATGATGTATATTTTGACGCATTTGAATAGAGTTTATATAAAAACAACTCTAGCTACTTTTTAAAATACAAAAATCTATCTAAAACAGGTAAATATTCTCTGCTCGGCG